AGTTTTAACAAGATGATTTTGTGAAAACTCGCCTGAAAAGGACAAACCGCTTTGCGTGTATATGTGTATACGTGTGACTGAAAAATGTCACTTTTGATTGATAAAGTGACACTTTTCACGAACTCGATCTCGAGATCTCAGTATTGACTGCATTAATTTTATTCGCAATGGTCGCAATCGAAAGTTTGTATCGACATTATATCAGAAAATGTCGCTAGATCTTGTATTGCTGTTATAATTTCTGAGATATTTGAATTGAAAGTATGTTTGACATAAGAATTTCAGATAAAGCTATGGTAGCGTCACGACATTTGCGCAATGAAGTAACACGCAGATTTTTAGGTACTTGGCGTCGCGCCGCTACCGCGTCGCTTGATACTGTCCTCTTATTTCTCCATTTACGTTTATTGTTCGTATAGATTTTTACGGAAAAATTTCATATTGAATAATATATATGTGCATATATCTATGTAATTTTTCCATTATCTAGCAACAAAAAAATCCACGAGTAATAAACGCAAATAGGAGTGGTATACAGTCGTGAAATCTCATCAAAAGTTTTATACATTATATACATATATTTATATATATATATCAAAAAGATATGTTATAGAAAGAATCTGATTTCATCAGATAATAACAAATTAACCACTTGCAAATTTCTATATATATATACACACACACACACATGTAGAGAGAGAGAGAGGGAGAATATTTCAGATTTATCTCATTATCTGCTAATGGCAGATTATTGAAGTCATTTAGAGATGAACATTCTAATATCAAAATGTTGAGATTACAATTTTAAATATAACGTTTAGGCGTTTAACATAGTTAATCGGGTTGTTCAAAATTCGTATGTTCAGATCTATTGCATAGTGAAAATGCTCTGATATAGATATTAAAGTTCAAATATATTTTGTGTGTATTATACTTTTGAATTTATGTCTTCATAACTTGTTTTATTTATTTAATTAACTAAATGTGCATGCCAATTAAAAGTGTAATCTCTTGTTTTGATATTTACATTATTTGAGTTTGATGTAGAATTTTCGTCTTTAAATGATTTTAACAATCTACATTTTCAGCAGATGGTACGGTAAGTCTGCAATACCCTGTATATAAAGTTACAAATTGAATATAAAAATCAATATTACATTTAAAATATATTAATACATTTATTATTTCTGAAAATTAAATTAATATTATCATTTACAACAATATATGATTAAATG